TTTTTAAAAAAAATTTAAATTTATAAAATATAAATAATGTTAAAAAATTAAAACTTCCATAAACTAATCCAAACATTCCCTGAGACTGGAAAGCAACAAGTCCTTTACAAGGTTGTGTTGACAACAATAAAAAAATCAACTAATCAAAACTAGTGAGTTATTGCCTATGGCCCTATACAGAGGGTGGGGAAAAGAAGGGTTGGGGCCGGGGGGTGTTACCGTGTTACCGACCGGCTACCCCCCTCAACGTTTGAAAATCTTGTATTTTGGTACATATATCATTTTTTTGCCTCTTAAACTTTTAAATATTTTACTTATCATGTAAAACTTTATATTTATTCTCATTAAACTCTTTATAATTTTTAGAATTTTGCATACTTAATAATAATACTAGTACAATTTATAATATTTCTATTATAATCACCATTTCAAATATAGAAAAAAAAACCATTAGTATTTAATTAAATATTTTGAAAAAAATAACAATATTATAATCCAAATAAATGAATTTCCTACGTATGGAATAAATTATGAATCAACCCCTTAATTAAACCCAAATTCAAAGATATTCTCTGTTAAGTTTTTGAATTGTTTTAAGATTTTATTTTTAAAAAGTGATTTTATTAATGAAAGCTTTAGTTGATAAAAAGGTTTAAGTCTTTGTTTAGTCAATAATTTTAGTCTCTAAGTATTGAATTACATCTTCCTTCTTTCCTATTATTTAGTTATTTAAGATGGAAAATATAACTTTTAATAGACAAATCAATAAAAACAAAAAAGGTAGACATTTTGGGATGAAAAGATACAATTTTGAAATTATTTGAAGGAGTTGATATACTGTTTAAGTATTATCATAGTGTGACATTATTTCTTATTCTTACTATAAAATTATTAATTTAATAAAAAAATAACTAGAGGTATGGGAAGAATATTTATTTATTTCTTAATTTTGTTAAAATTTTGAAAAAGATAGCAAGACAATCGAAATTAATTTTTTCCAAAGAAAAGTTAATAGTGTCATAAAATATACACAAAACTTAAATGGTCAATAAAAAATTTCTCTCTCATTAACTTAATTTTCTGGGTCAACCCCGGCCCTATGCCAGCCCGCCCATGTCATCGTCCATGTTGTATATTAGAAAAAATACATTTTTTGATCTTAAAATAGTTGTTGTTTTTTAATTTTTTAAAATTAAAAATTTTAAAAATAATTTATATGTTTATTTATAAAATTTTTCTAATTTGTAATCCTTAAGAGACAAGTTAAGGAAGTAAAAAATATATCTTTTTAAAACTAATTTATAAAAATAAAATAAAAATTTAACTTTATTTTAATACTATTTTTATGTGAATAATTTTAATTGTTTAATTGATTGATCAAAATTATTATTTACTATATTTTTCATAATAATTATTTATTGCATTATTATATTGCTTGAAAAAAATAGTAAAAAATATTAAAAAAAATACTTTCTATATAGAGTTATTGACACATTCTAATTTAATAATACCACACCTAAAATTAGGGGCAGGTCTCGTGGGTTGGGTTCGATAATAAATAGCACCAGCAACCGCGTTTTGTTGGGACGGGCATGTTGTTGCTATTGGAAGTAGGAAGCCCATGGGCCATTCGAACTGATCCAGTTTACAGAGAGCCTTTTACACAGATTAGACGAGTAAATGTGCAAAATAATAATAATAATAATAATAATAATAATGTCAATTTTATAATTTTTTTATTTAAAAATGTTAATTTCGTTAATTTTTAAATAAAAATATCAACTTTTAACATTTTCTATTTAAAAATGTCATCTTTTAACTTTTTCTATTTAAGAATACTAACTTTTAACATTTAAGTTAAAAAATTCATTTGCTACATTAACGTTATTATTTAATTAATCTTTACATAGAAAAAATTTAAATTTAAAGTTGATATCCTTAAATAAAAAATTAAAAATTGATATTTTTAAATAAAAAATATTAAAAGTTAACATTTTTATTTAAAAATAAACAAAATTAACACCTTTAAATAAAAAATATTATAAAATACTTCTTTTTTTTTTTTTCACCTTTACTCCAGATTAGGCCGCTGAAAGAAAAGTAAAAAAGCAAGTAGCTCGCCGTTGCCGGGGATCGAACCCGGGTCACCCGCGTGACAGGCGGGAATACTCACCACTATACTACAACGACTGGATGCCAATGTTTTCAGATATGAGTTTATGATTCTGTATTAGTCGCCAAAGAAAATTCAACATTCAAATGATAAAACTGTATCTTCACCTGTCGTTTGATGCATTCTTTGACATTCAATATTAAGTAAACGTGCTTCAGATTAAGTGCGGGCAATAGTCATGTGTTTTGCAAAAACTCTAGCAATCACTTAATCAGCTTACATGGATGAGTTTACTGTAGAGTAAAATAGACATTTAGTTGCCATGCATGTCATAGTAGATAACAAGAAGGGACTACCAACACTATTTGCAGCACCAAAACAATGAAAGCAGGCACGATCTAGTGGCCCCTGGAACTGGGAACGTTTATCCATTCTAATTGGAGCTCAAGTTCACCACACTCCACATTTTGCAGCCTCATAATCATGTTCTGGACAACTTTGCCATTAGACCAGACAATGCAGCTCTCTTGGGTAAGACAATTTTGTCCGTCAGGTTGTATTTTCTTGATTATTGTCCCAGCTGGGACACATTCCAACTGCAAGTTTACAGCTTCATGAATTGGACCAATATCAATCTCTGCATCCCCCATTTTGTCATCTCGACTGAAAGTATCTTTGTCATACACTGCCTGCATTACCATCACCATATGATTTACATCTTTATGAGAAGGTTTACGTCTCTTCTTATATTAAGAACTTTATCTAAGGAATTCCACTGATATACCATTTGTTCTTAAAAGAATTAATTAATTAATTTTAGCCTGAAATCAACAAGCTACGTACAATGATTAATTAACTAGATTCGAAATCCTACATATACATACCGAGACCAAATCACAAAATGGATCTTGAGATATTTATTTCCTTAAACTCCACAAGATCATTCAATGTTCTTATGTTTATTGAAGGAACCTTCATTTTTATGGCACAAAATAATTTCCCCATGAATGAATAGATGCACTTATCCCATACATATTTGGAAAATAAACCATCTTGTTGTGAGGAGAAAAAATGATACTTACCAGCTTCACTGGGATATTTGGGTCTGAAACAGAAAGAGTTAATTTTTCATTCCACTCTGGATTGAGGTTCTTCTTCACAACTCGAGTCTTTACTTTCTGCAAAGAGAGGCAATCAAAATATATATGAAAACTTTCAACTTCATGCTACCCATTTTGTGAAACTGTAAAGATTTCAGAAGAAATGGAAGATAAAGAAATAGTCAACGCATTAAGAATCTTCTAGTTCTAGAGAGATCCAAAAACAGCTAAAATTAGTAGGTTTAAGGGGAAGAAAGGGTTGAGGATTCCATACATATTAACACAAGAACAGAACAAAGAATCTCTTTAACATGAAATAATTTTTGGGACAGAATTGTGCGGTCCGAGCCTAGCCATCAACCACCAAACTGATCAAACTCAGGACAGACCAAACCCACCCAGAAGTCAAAATTTACCAAGAAATGAAACGAAGGAGACCCAGAATCCCAAGATTACCTGCTTTCCCATCTTGATTATTACATAAGGGTCGCTGCTTCTGCTTGTGATATCTCTGATAGCAAGATTAATTCCTTTCTGGACATGAACTCTTAGCAGACCCAACGGGTTCTCCATTCTGAGGGGGCTGGGGTTTCTAGCTCACACAAAGGCAGAGGCCATGTTGGGGTTCGTTGAATTTTGATGCCAATTCCTTGGCTTCAGATTTCAGTTTATATAAAACAGGGGCCAAATTCAAAGCGTGACTGTGTGCTTGCGCGTTGTGACCTGCGTCTCTCAGTTCTGAAGCCGTGGAAAATATGCTGTATTTTTTTTGAGGAATAATATGCTGTATTTAAAAAAGGAGGTGGGGACAACCGTTTACTTCACATTTTTATATAATTTTTACGTATTATTAAATAAATAAGTAAATTTAATGTTATATATTTTATTTAAATTGAAAAAAATAATTATTTTTATTATACATAAAGTTATACAAAAAATTAAATAAAAAAATTATACAAAAATTATTTTTCTTTTTAAAAAATTTGTTTCACCCTTTCTGGGGATAATCTAAAAAAAAAAAAAAAATACTGGGGCAGCTAGTCCCTTGATGTTGGGCTATCATCCAATTTAACTGTTACTGATTTATGGTTCAGTGCAAGTGCAACTCGTGGTAAGAATTTGGTGAAAATCTCAATTTGATCCTTTATTTTAATATATTTTTTTAATTCCTCTACTTAATAAATCTTTTTTTAATCTTAAAATTTATTATCTAGTTACTTTTTTTATTTTTTTGATATATTTTTACATATATAACATATTAAATAACACAAATTTTAAGATAGAAAGACTAACAAAAATCTTTTTAAAGCATAGGGATAAAAAAAAAAATTTAATCCTTTTTAGTTCTTTCTTTTAGAATTTTTGTTATCTAATATGCTATGTATATAAAAAATAATAGAGGAATTAAAAAGGAATTAGATATTAAACTTTAAAAACTAAAAAAGAAACTTTATTAAGTAGAGGAATTTAAAAAAAAAATTATTAAAGTAAAAGAATTGAAATAAAGTTTTAACCTATAAAATTTTTAGTTTAGTACTATAATAATATAATAAAGAATTTTCCTATCATATGCCTCAAATATATATGTTAAAAATATATTGTTATTATAAATTTATATAAAATATAAAAGTTATTATTAATTTTAATATTATTACCACTTAGTTAAATTTAATTAGATTATTAATTAATCTATTGTTAGTTTTTATTAAAGGCATAAATTATAAAAATCCTATAATAAATAAAGGTAAGTTATACAAGTCGGCCATTATGCTCTTCTTTAGGTTGATGATTACCCTCCCAATCTTCTTTTTCTTACAAGAAAATAACTCTCTTATATGGATAAATTGACCTTTATTCACAAATATTGTCAATTAACATTATTAATACTATAGTTGCAAGAGAACTCCAAAGTACTTCTCAATTTGACCGCCTACTTCAATACACCTACAAAGACCCGAGGTGGGTCCTTGGGGTAGACATTTCGATGTCTAAATTAGTAATAATCAAAGTTACCATGTGTAAATCAAGAGTTAGTCTTGAGTTCGGTTTCAATTACCTTTAAAGAGGACTTTTGGGGGGTATTTATAACTTTTAAATGGAATATCCACGTGTTGTTATTCACGAGAAACCAATATTATATGTGTCAATGATCCCATAAAGCTTCCTTACAATATCCCTACGTGTACGGAATTACTATAGAATAAGAGTAAGGGGATGAACTCGAGCTCGACTGAGCTCGTTGTTCCTTGCTATTGAGATGACTAGGTTAGAAGTAGATTAGGACGCTCGAGGTATGTGACCTTGGACTACTATCACTACAAATACTTTACAAATTCATTTGGTTTTCCTTATGATTCGGCAAAACATGCAGATTAGCCCCTCAACTCGTCGTGTGGTGGCAGATCACCCCCTCAAGTCAGTTCACGCGCAAAAGAACCCCTTAACTCGTCTTAGGTGGCAAATCAGCCCCTCTGTGTAACATGACGTCACTAATCCGTTAAAACTTAACGTTTCGCTCATCATCCCCTCCTCTGCATCTAATCTGGATTTTTTTTACCGAGATGGATGCTTTGTCTTTTATTACTAACCTTTCTTTGGAGCTTTTCTCGCGATTCATTACACGAAGCTACCTCTGCTTGCAATTCCTGCAACTTTTGACTGTATTCTTCCTTTGCTTTTGTTTCTGCATCTAAATAGCACAATCGCGATCTCCATATAACGAAAAACAAAAAGAAGGCATGAACAGATCGGGAAATTCCTATCCACTCGTGCCAAGTTCTGTAGGAGATGTTACCGTAGTGAGACGATTGTTGAACC